TCACTCCTCTCCTTTCTTAAAGAGACACAAGACTTAAGTATCGACCAATGACCATATAACCCTCGATTGCAGTTTTCCACTTAAATTAGTAATATAATAAATCTATTTTAACAAAAATTAAATTAAATACCTAAGCGAAACGAAAAAATATAATTTGAATAATTATTTAAACCTAAAATATTATTGTTGAGTAAAAACCTTTGAGAGGTGTTCATACACGAGAACACACAGTATTTGGTTGTGCAGATTGTCCGGTGCGGCGGCGGCTGCGCATGCCAAATCTAAATGTCGGCATTCAGTTAGACTTTTTGTCACGCGGGACAAGGTTCAATGTATCTTATGTCTTAGATATGACGTAATTATTATCACATAATAAACACAAAATACACGTTAATTAACGAGCTTAATGGAGCCAATTCAATATTTTCTTAAATAAAACACGGGCATTAAAAATAAAATTGTGAAAATTTTCACATTGACCTCGGTCAATCTACCGCAATAAATGGGGATGGACTGTGTAAACTTTTTCCAAGGACTTAATTAATAATATTAAAAGTATTCAATGAATTGGAAATTAATATCTAAATTAAATACACCTCTTAGGTTGATTACTCTCAAATTAATACCTGAACTTTAATTATTAATGATATTAATTTATTACAACATCACAACATGATATTATATCACGTGTATATTAATAGGGATGTTAAACGAATATAATTTCGTGGATTCCGTATCATATCCATTCTAATTGAGGCGGGGATGGGTATAACTTTAGTGGGTAGTGGACGGATGTAGATTTAAAAAGTGGTACTCGTCGCGGGTAGTGGATGGGTGATGGGTTTTAGAACTTACTCGCCCCACATCTGCTCGCCCACTAAATACCCATTAAACTTTAGATCATTATGAATTTATGTATAAATTTAGAGACTAATTTATAAATCTTAATATTGTATAAGATATAATTTATAATTTATGTACTTTAAGATCTATGTTAACACTTAACTCATATAATCCTTGGTTTATTTTTTTATGCCTCTTAATGAATGTGTTTGTTTTATGTTTGTTGCTCATGTATAACTTAAGGTTGCTATCAGGCAGGTCTAGCCAGGTACATCTCCTGTTAGGTAATAGGTGTGGGAATGGATTTGAGAATGTACCCGCGTGGACGGGTGTGAATTTAAATTTTTTTACCCATCATGGGTGGTGAGAGGGTGTGTTGAAAACATTTTGATGTTTCGATATAACAAATGAATTTTAAGATTTTACAAATAATTTTCTAAGTATATTCGATATAATTATTTGAATATCAAAATACTATTACAAGTCTTTCAAAGTTCATTTTAATCCTTACTAAAGTGTAAAATTGTGTTTTATACTTAACTATTTTAAAACAATTTTACAAAGTATTTTGAGCCTTAATCGAGCCAAAAATATTTTCTTTTTAAAGGGTTTCAAGAAAAATCAGATTGCCTATGGGGTACAGATTCCCCCCAAGGGGTATAGATTCCCCCCAGGGGGTACCGATTCCCCCCTGTCTAACGGTCAAAAACAGATTGTACTTAGGGAACCGATTCCTCATGAGGGGGTACCGATTCCCCCCACGCTCCAAGCTGTTTTATTAATTATTTATCATCCTCAAACGGCTCCAAAACATCCCCTACGACTATATAGGGTAACCATATCTCTTAAATATAGGGTAAACTATACCCTATAGTTTAATTAAATATAATAATTTATTCTAAATAAAATATAGGGTAAACTATAACCAATTTATTCTCGATTATCTCTCATACATCAAGATCATTGGATTGGATGAATACCTTCATTAATTTCTTTCAATGATGATAGTTGACTCTATTGAAGTATGGAGGTTTGTCGGTTGGTAGGGAGTCTTCCATGTGGAACGAGCCGGAGGTGGAAGCCATCTTCTCGGTTGTGTCAGGAATTGGTAGAGCTTCTTCTAGGATCGTCTCAAGGTGGTTAAACCTTCTTAACGAGTTAGGCTCTGATACCAATTGTTAGGATTTTAAGAAGCTCGAATCGATAACTGGAACGGTTTGTAAAGAGGGGTCGGAACGGTTTTGTGTTTAGGGAGTAAGGAGATTGAAAGATAGAGAATTGCACAACGATTTATAGTGGTTCGACTTTCTCAATCAAAGTCTATGTCCACTACCTTAGCTCCTCACCAAAGATTTTCCAACAAATTCACTAATTTGTTCTTTCTTTTGAGGATAAAGAGTAACCTTACAAACTCCCTAGTTTTTCCGGGCTAAACTAAAACATTTCCCTAGCTTTTACACGGGATTAGCTAGAACATTTCCCCTTTACAAAAGGATAAGAAATGTAAACAAGAAAACCTCTATAAGGTAGGTGTTTACAAGAATTAAGCTCACAAGAACAAAATATTTATAAGAGAAAGATGAAATAAGATTGAAACACTCTTCTCTTGTGTTTGATTGCTTGGATAATTGTTCTCTTGCTTCTTCAAGTGTTCTCGATTATCTCCGGCTCGTTCCACATGGAAGACTCCCTACCAACCGACAAACCTCCATACTTCAATTGAGTTAACTATCATCATTGGAAGAAATTAATGAAGGTATTCATCCAATCCAATGATCTTGATGTATGGGAGATAATCGAGAATGACTACTCTTCTCCAAAGAAGAAGGAGAAGAAGCGGAGTGACATAGAACAGAAGAAAGCTCAACTTAATGCCAAAGTCATGCACATGTTGTTTTGTGTATTTGGTCCTGAAATCTATGAAGGGGTTTCTTCATGTTCAAGTGCCAAGGAGCTTTGGAATAAGCTCGAGGAAATCCATGGAAACAAGGAAGAAGAACCAACAAAGGTGGTGTCTCTAATGGCTTATGAAGAGCCCGATGTATCTTCTAACTCAAATGAATTTAATTCATATATGTTTGATGAGTTACAAGATGCTTTTAATAGGTTATATTCGGAGTTTGAGACCATGAACTCCAAATATAAGAAAATGATTTCAAAATTTAAATTTGAAAAAGATTTTCTTTTGAAAGCCAAAATGAAATTTTGAAAAAGGATTTAGAGCTTTCAAAAATAAAAATTGATAGTTTTGAAAAACAAAATTTTGATTTAAAAGTTAAGCTTGAATGCTTAACAAAAGAAAAAGAAATCATTTTAAATAATTCATTTAGTTCAATAATGACAATATGCTCACATTGTCATTATCATGGTCATTTGGAACATACTTGTCCTTTGAAGAAAGGAAAACGTTTTAAAATTAGGCAAGTATGGGTTCCGAAAGGAACAAGGGGCATTGAAACTAACGTCCAAGGATCCAAAGCAATTTGGATACCAAAATCTACTTAAATGTCTCTTGTAGGTGTGTGGGAACAATGGTGATGAGAGTGATGATATTCAAGATGCTCTAGCCACACATGAAAAAGGAATGGGTAACCTCTAAGCTTAATGCTTTTAATTTTGGTTATTTAGTTGCTCATTTGATTTTAAGCATGCATGAGTTTTGTTTTTAAATGATTATGCATCATTGTTTTAATCTCATGCATGTTGAAAAGATTATTATGATGAACATTTTAAAGTTATATTAATTTTTAAGAATTTTTAGTTCATCATAATAAAATTTTGGTCAAAATTGGTTTTAATGCAATTGATATCTCTCTAACAATTGATATCAATTTTTCAAATACTTTGATTTTACAAATTTTAAAATTTTTGACCTAAATTTGAATGTTTATGCATGTGGTTTAAATGAAAATGATATCTCTCTAACAATTGATATCAAAATTTTCAAATGCATAACATTTTTGGAAAACTTTATGCATATGCACTTTATGCATGAGGGGTACCGATTCCCCTCACGCTCCAAGCTGTTTTATTAATTATTTCCCATCCCCAAACGGCTCCAAAACATCCCCAACGACTATATACGACTTCAAACACATTCCAATCTATAAATACAAGCTAAGGACACTTGAAGAAGCAAGAGAACAACTATCCAAGCAATCAAACACAAGAGAAGAGTTTTTCAATCTTATTTCATCTTTCACTTGTAAATATTTTGTTCTTGTGAGCTTAATTCTTGTAAACACCTACCTTAGAGATGTTTTCTTGTTTACATTTCTTATCCTTTTGTAAAGGGGAAATGTTCTAGCTAATCCCGTGTAAAAGCTAGGGAAAGGTTATAGTTTAGCCCGGAAAAACTAGGGAGTTTGTAAGGTTACTCTTTATCCTCAAAAGAAAGAACAAATTAGTGAATTTGTTGGAAAATCCTTGGTGATGAGCTAAGATAGTGGACGTAGACTTTGGTTGAGAAAGTCGAACCACTATAAATCGTTGTGCAATTCTTTATCTTTCAATCTCCCTACTCCCTAAACACAAAACCGTTCCGACCCCTCTTTGCAAACCGTTCCGGTTGTCGATTCGAGCTTCCGAAATTCCTAATAGGGTGGTGGATTTAAAAATATTATTTGGGTATGAGAATGGGGGTATCCACACCTGACCTGCCCGTTTGTCATCCTTATGTATTTATATACATAAGTTACTTTAATTGATGAATTACCAACTTAGAAACAAAATTTTCTTTAAATACCAATTTAAAAGAAGATACCTAATTTAAGTATTAACTTGAGAACATTTTTTTTCTAAATACCAACTTAAAAGAATGTACCTAATTTAAGTACCAAATGTATATTAAAGTTATAATGTTCACAAATTTCTAATTATTTATATATATTTGTATTTTTTACAACTAAAATTTTCGTATAATCTGTCACGAAATTTTATATTTATTGTTGAACGATGATGTGTCAATATCAAAGTAGCACATCACTCTTTTTTAGTATTTTGACAAAATAATACCAATTTGAAAAAATAGCGAAGTTCAAGCATCGATCTGGACAAAAGGAAAGTTTAGGTACAACTACTGTGAAAAAATAAATAAGTTCATGTATCAATGTGAAAAGAAGTTTAAATACCTATATGAAAAACAAATGAAAAAGAATGGGCAAGATCTCAACTAAAAATTAGCAACGGGAAAAACAAATTTAACTCGCGTAGTGCAACAGAAATCAAGCATGGTGCCACTAATGTAAGTTTTCCATTTGTTTTCTGTAACTTATCCAGAGTACATCACAGTCCGAACGACAAATAAACTGAAAAACCGGTTTATAGTTTTGCCAATGGAGAACCTCGAGAACGGCGGTCTGCGGCATTCAATCCATCCTTCCCTTCAAGATCCTTTCCTTTACTTCTGTAGGCGTGCTGCAAGATGTATATAATATCAAATCAATCACAATTGTATTGATCGGACTCGAGTGCAGGCAGTGTAGGATCATCTCTCTATATACGCGTCTACATATAGGACAAACATCATTGTAGGATCATATCTCTATATCGGTGTCTACATATAGGACAAGCATCATTGTAGGATCATCTCTATATCGGTGTCTACATATAGGACAAGCATCATTGTAGGATCATATCTCTATATCGGTGTCTACATATAGGACAAGCATTAGTGTTGGACATGAGTACTTAATGAAAAATGAATGGTCGTGGAGTAGCATAACATTTTGATGCCGTCGGCTAGTTGCCTCTACTGCATGTCTGCAAATATTTAAGGTTTCTACTATCCAGACAAATCATTTAAGAAACAACCCAATACTGCATTATATAGAGACAGCCAGATTCTTTTGGGCAAACCTAATAACAAATATATGACCCTAGAGATAAAATGCCAGGAAAAAAACAAGTGTATATATAATATAACAATAATAAACATTTGTAAGTGCTTACACAACATAGACATGTCCTCCCCAACCACTCAGACAGTCGCGATCAACTGACGAGAGGAGAGCTTGGGAAACCGTTTCAAACAACTCCTCAGGTTCCTGGATAACAGAGGAATGGGTCAACAAAGCATCAATTTGCGTTCCTGGCAGGAACATTTTGTAGCTAACAACCATAATACTTTTAACTTATGAGTCGATGCACTGTAACCTTATTTACTTCCAAAAATAGACATCATATCTTAGGTTTTGGATAAAAAGCATTATAAAGAATTTTAATTTAAAGTTTCATCACTAATGTGAATGTGTTCTGAATTTGACCAAAGGGAAATATACAGAAAAATAACAAACCATGTCCTCCTTGAACATCGACTCGCAGGCACCATAGAGGGACTCTGATGCAGTGCCGGCTACAACAAAATCTTTTGCAAGCTCCCTGCATTTACAAGGGAAAAAATATAACATTTGTGATAGGAATTATATAGAGTTGATTTTATCCTTATTGAAATTATAAACATGAACATATTAATAAAAAAAAAAGCCTCCTATTAACAGAAATTATTATAGAGTTGCCGGCTAGGGGATAGTTTCTTCTTGTTTATCATGTGTGGAAAGAGACAAACTAAAGAATGCATGGAAGGTGTAGTTACCTTTGCTAACATCATGCGATTATAGACCAATATCCCGAGCCTCTAGTTTCGTTAAATATCAGAGGAAATTGTTTGTAAATACTTGTTTAAGGCAAGGTTGGAAAACAGTGGGATTCTTATACTGACCAGTGCCCAAATTACTGGTTTTGAACAATAGCGGGTTAGTTCCCACCCCCAAAAAGGTTCAAATTTTAGGTTTCAGAAAAATAGCTTATTCTTTTAGTAAAAAGCGTTCAAGTTTCTGATTCTCTCCTAGATGTCACAGGCCACTAGACGATGTATTATCAGAGAGTTGGAGCTCTACTTTAATTGGCTTTCGGTTGAGATATGAAATAAAATTTTCAGTTCCACAAAGGACATTTGAGTAGCAGAACTTCTGTTAACCAAGTAGAATTAAAGGGCATTTAGTTTACAAAAACAAGGCTCTTGGTTAGGCAAATACAGTAAGTTAAAGAAAGAAAATGAATATAATGTTCTAAGCAACTAAGACAACTTCATGCTTTTTCATTTAAAAAATTACAAGAAACTGAAATCAACTTACTTGGCTCCAATGGAATCCATGGTGCAAATGAAGGGTTTGTCTTCATCTCCTAATCCAGCAATTACAGGTTGGCAGAAGTATGGACCAAATCTATGGAAAAAAGAATGCCATAAAACTTATCACCAACACATAAAGAGGTGCAACCTTTTCAAATGTAATTCCCACTCCAAATCTAACTTCCCTAGAGTTTCTCTCTAGCTTGACATATCATGAAGGAAGTGCTAGAGTTTATTAGTAAAAGAGGACTCCATCTCTTAGGTTTCAAGGCTAAACATTACGAACACGACAGGCCGAGAATATCTTGATGCTCAGATTCTTATCATAAGATAAGTGGGTAATTTCCCTTCAAGTACATAAAGAAGGCTTTTTCATCCACGTGTAAAATTTCCCACTCCTAAACTGGTATCCAGTATTAATTAAAAAATACGAGATAGAAAATCCGGAGCTTAGCTAGTTCATTCATGCAGCCATCTTTAAGAGGTGAAATCTAGGTTTAGAGTTCAAAACTTCAAATCCAGACATTTGCAACCCACCCTCTTTCCCCAGGGTTCAACCTCTTTTGTACAAAAAGGAAAGTACTAAATTACCACTTACCTAGTTTTACTATCTTAATTCACAGGCTATTCTTGCTTAATCAATCTCTACTGGTACATTTTTAAAATTAATCAGAATGGCAATTGTCAAACTAATCACGAGTTAGTACTTGGTTGTATAAAACATATCTAAATCTTCCCATTTCTACCATTAATCTTTAGAATTAAGCTGACAACCTTAAATTTTAAAAAGAAAAAAAGAATCTAACTTAGCCATATATTAATGGGTTTAAACAAACCTTTTCTCGTAAAGAATAGCAGAAACAAGGTTAGCGAAAGTCTCAGGTTTCATGTCCCTTTCTTCTCTTAGCTGGTATAGCTTGTGCCGAAAGACAAGCCTTTGATACCTTCAATCATTATTATTTTTAAAAAATGAAACCCAAATATCAAGATAACTCATTGTAAAGCCTTTGATACAACCCTTTTTTCTAAATGAAAAAAAAAACATAAAGGTAAAACAAAAGAAGGGGAAATACAAGGTTTGAGCATCGGTGGCGAGGCCGGAGAGACCGAGAAAGAGGCGATCGTGGATTTTAGAAATCCTCTGGAAGTCGGTGGCGATAGTTTGGAGTTGAACTCCGAGTCTCCGATCACTGGCGATGGCGAAGCAGTTCTTTCCTACCATCGCTACTAGGGCACTCCCATTGTACTCAAAGATCTGCATCATCATCCACCATCAAAACAATGAGTTTATTTTTTAAATAAAATCAGGGTTTCAACAAAGAAATTTCAAAAAATTGATTCGGAAGAAAAATGACATACCGACATCGGAGAAGTCAGGGTTTTTCTTTTCTGCTCTAAAATTTATGCGAAGAAACTGATTTGATACCAGCAAAAGCGAGATTAAAAGGCAGTGAAGATGGCTTGGAGATCACTCCAGTTTCCAAAGATTCGACCTTTGCATTTCCCTTTTTGATAAATAAGGCTTTTACTTTCGGATAAAGTGTTGGGCTTCTCATTTCTTCTCTACCCCTTAGGCCTCGCCCAATACATCTATTGGCCTATTTTTTTATCATTTAAATAAATTCGAATTCAGGTTTTTAAATTATTACAATAATTTATCTTCTAATTTTCAAATTTATTATTGAAATAAAAAAATATTTTTTTATATATTTTTTATTAAAAAAAATTCAATCTTTCCAAATAGTATAATAAAAATTTAAAATTCAAATAAAAGTTTGTTTAATATTTATGATTTTGTTGACTAAATAATTCAGGCAGATTTTTTTAAAAATATATAATTACTTGAGTATTAGTTTAGGTCCTTAGGATTTAAGCTATTTGTTACGGTACACATGGAATTCATCATGAGGGGATGTCGAGTTCCATAAATATAATAAATAATTAAAACTCGAACTGAGGACATGACAAGTTTCATATAATTTTATTCCGGTGCATATGATAGGTTTTATTTTTAAAATATATTTTATGAAACTCGTCACGATGAGTCTTCACGCGCATTGTAGCAAATGACTCAGGGTTAGTCATGATCCTTACCATTTGATAGGAATATTGTGATTTGTGAAGGTCGAAATGTTCATACTCTTGTCGTTAGAGTTTATTTATGATAAAGAACTCGAATCTAAAAAATATAAATATAAGATGATTTAAATTTAAAAATATTTAAATTTACAATAATTTTAATTCAAAAACAACTTGGTCCAAACATGTTCTATGATGCACTAAACACATTATTTCTCAATCCTATTGATATTGTTAATTTATTTTTACGTTGGTTGTACTCAAATAAATATTTATATTATATTAAGTTTTACTTTAAATGATTTTATAAAAATAAAGTTATTATTATAATTAATTATACTCATAATCTATAGTTACCATATATTGAATTTGTGAATATAATATAACTAAACTTAAACTATAATAAATTTTATAGGTTGAAAATCAGAATAAGTACTATGATAATCCATAAAAAAAAAGTAAAAATGATGTTTAGATATTAATAAAAAAAAATTAAAATAAATGATGTGTAGGTGTAAACAAAAGGAATTATATATATACAGTGTAAAATTTAAATTTTATAATTTTGTTTTTCTAAATAGTGTACGGTAATTATAATGTATTATATGTTCAGAATCTTTTTTAATCATTAACAATGCGTACGTATTATGCAGACATACACATTTATGGAAAAACACGACACTCTCTTATCCACTGACACCACTTGATGGGTTCAAATTTTATAATTTTTTGATTCGAATGTGATGTGTTTTATTTATAATGTAAATTCTGAAGTTTATCTTTAAATTTTAGGGTTTAAAATTAATCAAGATAAACGTATGGTATGGTTTTTACATAAATTTTATAGTGAGTCTTTTATATTTCATCCATTATAAGCCTAAACTCTATTTTTCTTTCAAAAATAATTCTCGAATTTCTGTTTTAGAATGTTGTCTTAGGTGGGAATCTAATGTTGTCGTTTGTTTATTTATTTAAATTAAAATGAGAATTCTTTCATTTTGATTTCATCACGTCGTACCTAAGGGTTAGGGTTGGATTTTTTATAACTCGATCCGACTCAAAAAATATGTATCCTCCACCCGAATTCAATCCGATTGAAAATTTTATATCTTCCACTGATCCGATCCGACCAAACCCGATATAAAATAAGGACTTAATTAAAAGTAATAATAAAAATTTTAAGAAAATTATATTATTATCCTTGGGCTGGGTCAGGTCAAAGTTTTTCACCCTCCACCCGACCCTACCATTTAAAAGTTCTGACCCGATCCGAAACCAATTTTTTTCTTCAAAAAGTTGACATTATCGAATCAGATTGAAATATATCGGATTCGGATTAAATTGTCATATTTAGTTACACCTCTAATAAGAAAAGGTCACAATTTTCATGGTTAGATTTTCTTTTACTACATTTTACGGATGGGCTTGGTAGCATTGTTTTAAAGAGTAATATATCATATTGTTTCCCTCAATCTCCACGTTTACATTAATAGGGATGAAAATTTAACTCAAATTTGATGAGTACCGACTCTATCCGATATGATCGGATTTAAAAAAAAACGAATTAAGGTGAAATGTGAAAAAATTCTGATCCGATGTTAACCCAACACTTTCCATCCCTATAACATTAATATTGAATTTTTATAGCAAATTATATTGTCTTTATTGTACCTTCCATTTTATTTAACGAAAATGCATTTTTTATTTAAAAAATATATCAAATAATTATTTTAAATTAAAACTTACCTATTTATATATAAATACAGATTAAGACTTTATTTAAATTCAGCAAAAGCAAACAGCTGTTCCCCAAAAAAAAAAAAACAAAACAAAAAGCGCTGAAGTGCGATAGGGGAGAAGAGAGAAAACAAAGAGAGAAGCAAAGAAGAGAAGAAAGAGAAAAGAAAAAGGAAATAAAAGTCCATTATTCCGTTTCTTTCTCCTTCTTCTCTACTAAAAACACCACTCTTTACAACTTTCATCTGCTGCAATTTTAACCCCTCAACTTGCTTCCCCATCTCCCACTCTCTGTGTGTAAATTCTTCTTTCAACAAAGTCAAACCAATGCCCGCTTCTTCTTCTTCAGGTAATCTCTCATGTTATATTTTTCTTCTTCTTTTGAAGTCATTTTCAATATCATATGATAATTCAATGTAAGTTACCCTTGTTACCCATTTCATTATACCTAGATTTTTTTAACTTTTTTTCTTGGGGGTAGATGGTCGAGGTCGATGGAAGCGGCGGAAGCGAGAGCGAAGATCGAAGCACCGGTTGGAAGATAAGGACGTGGTTCTAGAGGAAGAGGACAACAACGATGGCCTTGAGAACTCCGGGGACGATGCCGGCGTAGTGATTACGGATCGATCTTTGGCGGGTTCCGGCGAGAGTGAGGTCCTGGCCGACGGTGGAGTTCGCATCTCGGAGTTCCCCTCCGTGGTGAAGAGAACGGTGAACCGTCGTCACGGTTCCGTGATGGCGATCGTGGCGTCTGAACGGGCGGGTTTGATTGGGGATATCAAGGAGCATCAGAAGATTGAGCTGCCGGTTATGGAGAATGTTTCGCACGGGCAGTTACAGGCGGTTTCGACGGAAGCCGCCGATCCGGAGAAGTATGTGATTACCCCTCCTCCCATAAAGGAGGGGCGTGGTGTTGTTAAGAGGTTTGGGAGTAGGGTTCATGTCCTGCCAATGCATTCAGGTCCAATTCTGCTGTCACTTTAATATCCTCTTGCTTTAACTTTTGTCTGGTTTCAGTTTTGGCCTGACTATGAAAATTAATTTTAATCATTAGATTATGGGTTTATATTAATTGACCTCACTAAGATGTAGAATTGAAGAGTTTGACTTTCTTCCATGTCAGCTTGAATCTTAAGTTGCAATGCCGAAAAAGTCTTTTGGGGAAGTGTGTACCCTAAGTTCCCTTTTGTATTTGACTGGGGAACTTTTGTATTCAATATTATGTGAGTTGGTTTGTACCTAGAGTAATTGTTGGTTTGATTTCGACTCTAAGAAAGGTCTTGAATCTTGATCTAGTTCAGATAAGAGGTGTAATCTAAAATTAAACAAAAGTTAAGCAATTTAAACTTGGGTTGGTTCTATTTACATGATGTGCTTCCTTTAATGTCTGTAGCAAAGGAATAAAAACACATTTTGCTCAACACCAGGTTTATCTTGCACACTCTCTCTTTCTGCTCTAAAATTTTCTTTGTCATGTGTTAATATTTGGTTCTGTTTGTGGGTTACCTTGCAAGCAGACTGGTTTTTGCCATCCACTGCACATCGAATAGAAAGACAAGTTGTTCCACTTTTCTTCGCCGGGAAATCACCAGACCATACGCCAGAGAAATACATTGAATGTAGAAACCAAATTGTTGTCAAATACATGGATAAACCAGAGAAGAGAATTACAGTTTCTGATTGTCAGGGGTTGATAAATGGTATCAGTAATGAGGATTTAACTCAAATTTTTCGGTTTCTTGATCACTGGGGAATTATCAATTATTGTGCAGCTGCAGCAAGTCATGAGCCATGGAAAGTCGGATCCTACTTAAGGGAAGATTCAAATGGCGAGGTTCATGTGCCATCAGATGCTTTAAAGTCTATTGATAGTTTGATCAAATTTGACAAGCCCAATTGTAGGCTTAAGGCAGCGGATGTTTATTCCCCATTGTCATGTCATGATAATGATGCTTCTGACTTGGACAACAGAATACGAGAGCGCTTATCTGAAAACTATTGCAGTTCTTGTTCACAGCCTACTCCCACTTCATACTATCTGTCTCAAAAGGAGGTATGTGACTTCTATGGCCATCTTAACATTTTTATCTTTGAGGGCAAAATCTTATTAGTTCTCCTTTCTATTGTTCATCTGACTGGTTTTGCACTTCACGTATACAAATTTTACCTTGAAAACCTAATGAATGACAGTAATCAAATTTAATTAGGACCATTTAATACGATGTACTCTTAGATATGTATCTTAAAGCACCAGAATTACCATTAATGAAAGGATGGTTCTGCAATGTTTTATTAATAGTTTTTCCCCTTTGGTTCTTAGGTAAGAATAATATCATTCTAGATATTGTTAGATGAGAACCTTTTTGCTTAGGATTTTCTCCAGTTTCAATACATCAGCACATTCACTGCCTAGATCAGACCACCTTTGAGATTGGGGCTCAGACACTTATCTTGATCACTCATATGCAATGTATATATTGCTGTTTGCTTTAATCTATGCAAAATGGAAGTCATTAAAAGTGTATATTTCTTATGTACTGTGAGGGTATTGGTAGTTTTATATTTGGTTCTGGTGGTGAGGTGGTCAAGAAATGAACAATAATAGATTTCTATCTTCACTTGTAGACAATGAAGTTTCTTTCTAGTTCACCA